CGCCGGTGGAGAACACCTAGGCCTCACAGGCCGGCTCCGTGTTTTCCTTTGTCAAGGCCATCCTCGGGAGCAGCTTGCAACAGGCTGCAAATGTCCAGGCACTCCAAAGTTCACTCCAGAGAGCGGGATTCCCAGACTGGCTGCCCACCCTCATCCCCGCTGGGTGCTGGGCTTTCCAGAGAAAAGGGCTTCAACAGCGTTGACCCCGGGGCCAAGGAGAATGAGAGGCCTGACCCAGAGGGTCAAAGCTGCTCAGAGGCAGAAGAGACCAAGTCACCACTGTTTGGCCAGGCATGCGTCTCCCGGCCCCTTCAAGTGCGCACAGCAAGCTGAGAAACTAACTGCAGCTGGACGAGGCAGGGGTCTGCAGAACCGATGCAAACTGTGCGAAGCTGCGCCGTCACTTGCTCCAGTGTAGGAAGAAGGCACTGAAAGCTTTTAACCCCTATCCTCAGATATACAAAATACATTTACTTTCCGGCTTCAAATGAGCCTCAGCAGCAGGAATGCATCACACCGAGTTAATCTGTAGCTAAACTAGGTCCACCAAAGAAGGACTGGACTTTCTCACTCTGAAACGCTCCCTAGTCAGTTTTTCCACAGCCCTCCAGCGAGGTTTGTCTGTGTGAGCCAGCTGGACCTGGTCTTCAAGGAAGAAGTCAGCTCAAAACCTAAAATGGAACAATTCCGTCTGCATAACCACTACGTGATCTTCTGGGAACCTGGCAGATAAGATAGTGCTTTATTATTATTTACAGTATTTGATTCCTATCTTGCTTTTCACCCCAGAGGGGATGAATCCAGAGAGAGCAAAAGAAAGACTGTGGCAGGAAAAAGTCTGAATGAAAAGTTCAACAATTACCAAGATGAATCGCATTAATCTGTGCCAGTCTCAACCTTGTCAACTTTAAGAAGCCTGGACTTCAACTCCCAGAATCCACCAGCCAGCAGGGAGTCCACACATCTCAGAGTTGACAAGGTTGAGAAAAACTGATCTACGCAATGCCACTACTCAGAGACATCCAGTTCCCAATCGCACCTTACGGCAAAATGTTGCAAACCCAAGTTCTAAGATACCCAATTCAATGTATTCATAAGTATGTAGACATCCTGACCTTTTCTATAAAATACAGCGGTTCACCCAGCATGTTATGCCATGGTCTCTAAGCACGGGTTGTAGAATAAACTACAATAGGCTGAGTTAATACAACAATCCCTATGCTATGATTGAGAAATCATGATGTGGGTTTGCATCATGATAAAGCCAAAACCAAACCAACCAAATTAGGGCTTAATAAAACGGATGAACTCAAGTCAATTCCAGTTTCACACAATGCCCTAATTCAAACATCACACCAAACCATGATTATTATTTATGTTCTCCTCTGAGCCCGTTTTTTTCCCTCAAGACCTTTCATGGTGGTTTTCCTTAATTTTATCTCCATAATGAAAACTCCAAGAGAACATTAATAAGTCTCTCAAAATTGCCACTGATTCTGTGATAAAGTGGGGACCTGAACCCGGGTTGCCTGATCCTAGTCAAGCCCCTTAATCACTAACTGCACCGCTGCCTCATTTTATTTTTATATATATGAAAAAAATTCCAAAGCTTCAGTGTGATATCTGGACGTACACTGATGCATGAAGAGACAATGCGGAGCCACCCATTGCCGGAAGCCAGTTTACGTGGGAATTTACAAACCCTGGCTTGTGCCATCCGTGGCCTGGCAAACTCAGTGCCCTTCTCCCGGTGGTCTCTTGCCTAAGGACAGAGCAGAGCGCAGACTAGACCAGCCTGTCCCTTTTGGTCTTGGGTGCCGCGTGTATCTGTAGTGACACCACATTCCGTTTCTGGGGGAAGTTATGCAGCGTTCTGTGCTTTGCCTGAGCTAAGAGGAGGAAACTGACTGAAGCATTATTCCCTCAGCTGATTTCTACCCAGAATCATGGTCACTGGTTCTATCATGCCACCGGTGAGTCGAAAAAGGAAGCGCTCCTACACGCAGTGCCGTTTATTTAGTTATCAAATTTCTAGGCCACCCAAATCCAAAACAGCTCTGGGCAGCTTCACAGGATTAAAAAACAAGAAAAACCACCTTACACAAGAACCCAGTTATGCCAAGGGAACGGATTGAAAAACACGCTCCCGTATCACCCCCAACCTCCAAGGCCCACGAAACGCCCTAACCAAGGCCTGGGGAGAGCGCCAACCTTTTAGGGCTCCCATAAAGGTGGGTAGGGCAAGGGGCTTACAAATCTCGGGGGGGGGTGCTTTTCCAGAAAGTAGGTGCGGTGACAGAGAAACCCCCCCCCCCACAGATGACGTGGATCCAAAGGAAGCCAACTCTGTCCAATGGCAGACGCTATGGGGCTGTCAGAAGAGTCTCAGATACTGGGAGGTCCAAGCCCCCTCAGCCTCGGTCTTGCTAGGGTTGAGCCTGTTCCTCCCCATTCAGACCCAACAGCCTCCAGGCCCTGGACCAGAACTTGACAGCACCACTTTGCTGGCCTGAGGAGTTTCATCCGCGTACTGTTCCGATGATGCCTGACCCCAAACTGACCAATGACCTCCCCAGTGGCTTCATATACATGTCAAGCAGAAGAGGCAAGAGCATCAAGCCCAGGGGCACCCCACAAATCAGGGGGTTTGGACTTGACCTCCCCCCCAAAGACAGGCTGCAAAACAAGAAGGAAAACTACTGTGACACCACGCTCCCCGCAGCCCACCCCCTGTGATTTCAGGCAACTGGCCCAGAAGGATGCAGTACTATGAACAATGGTACTGCAAGCCACTGAGAGATCAAGGAGGGCCAGGACCGTGGCGCCCCCAGCACTGCCACAGATCATCAGGTGTGATCAGTGCCACCTCAGTACCCTGTCCAGGCCTGAAAAGAACCCATCAGGCGCCGGGGGGGGGGGAGGAGCACCAGCAAGCCTAAAGGCAACGCGAGTGTGAGAGATCTGATTAGGCAAAGGAAGGATGGTAACCTCCACCACCTTCAGACCCTGTTGCAACTGCCCCAGGACAAAAAGAGACTGAAGGTGCAACCTCCAATCTGCATCTGGGACATTTCCATGGCTGCCACGCATTCCTGAGCTGCCCCAGAGTAAAGGCCACCCAGGGAAAGGTTAATCCCCAAGGGCTATCATGCCAGGGAATCAACCATGGTTAGCACCCAGCCTTGGGATCCAGCAGCTCAGGCGCTGCGCAGCGTGGAGGGCAGGAGAGCACAACCAACTCAACACCTCCATTCGGCTCACAGCCCACGTCCAACCACAAGGCCCCCCATCTGGCTATCTGCAGCCCACGGCCTCTGAACACCATCGACGCTTCCTTCGTAGCAACTGCCTCCTTGCCCCCTCCCCCGACAACCTGTGGGATCCGCTGCCACGAGCAACCATCTTGCCCGGCTGCGCACTTTCCAAAGGAAGAGGGGATCTGCTGGCTTAGGAAGGGAGTGAGGTTCAGAGAGTGGTCCAGGTGCTGTGGGGGGGGGGGGGCTGTGGGCTCAGCACCATTCCAGCTGTCTCGCTGGGAGTCTCCGACTGATGGCGGCAGGAAACGGGGCGCCCCTGGCTTCCTAAGCCCCTCGGAGAACCGCCAGAGAGACCTGCCAGCCCCAAGCTCTCGCCACAGGGGCACGGCCAGGAGCATGCCCCAGGCAGACGTTTCAGCAGCCGGCAGACTTGCTTGCAGAAACGAATGCCAGCGAGAAGCACGCGCCTCCTTACCCATCAACCCCTGCCCTCTAGGGAAGCAGCCTGCACAGGCATATGGCCCCACAAATGGGGGGGGACCAGCCAGCCTCAGCAGGACGTCTGTTTTCAGAAGTACTCCAGTCTGCAAGGAATACATGCAAAGCAGCACGGGAAGCGAGCCTGCAGAGCATCCCTCTCGCGGGCACCACGCACACCTTCCGGCCGCCCTCCGGCCTCCTCCCTGCCGCCTGTTTCCCGCTCCCAGGAGGGGCTGGTGGGAGGTTAAAGAGGGGATGAGGCGCCTCCTTTGGCCGAGAACTCCAGGGGGCAGGAGCCCCAGCAGAGAAGGGCCAGGGAAGAGGACACGCTGCACGGCTCCTGCCCAAGGAGGGGAGGGGAGGGGAGGGGAGAGCCAACCTGGTTTTCAGAAAGTTCCTTGAGATGCAAGTAAATAAGAACACAGCATCATGAAACGCGCCAAGGGAACAAGGCTCTTGGGCGATGCCCCCCACCCCTTTCTCTTCCTCCTCGACGCTGCCCACAACCCTGCCCCCCCCGCCCGAGCCCAGGAGCCGAAGGGCCCATCCGCACGCAGAGCCAGCCAGGGAAGGGCGACCACACCTCCAGGGCTGCCCTGGCCGGGTCTCCCCCGGACCAGCTCCTCTCAAACGCCGAACGAGCCTCCGGGGCGCCCCTTGCGGGAGAGGAACCGCCCGCCTCCCTTGCAGTACGGGCACCGGAAAACGCCCAGAGGAGCTGCTCCCTCCCGCAGCCCCATCAGCCACGGTCTCCTCCGGCTGACCAGACGCGCGGAGTCTCTGGGCAGCCGCTGCGCGGACCCTTCCCCTTCGGGCTCCCACGCCGCACCGAGCCCAGGCACGGCTGTCTCGCCCGGCGAGAGGCCCGCGGGAGCGGCCCCCAGGAGGACGGAGTGGGACCAGACCGACCAGAGGAGGGAACACCGGGCGGCCTTCTCCCCACGCCTTCCGGATGGCTAAGCTACAGCGCCCATCATCCCAGGCGGCACGGATAATGGGCGCTGTAGTCCAGCCCATCTTTCAGGGCGGAGAAGCGGACCGCCGAGGGAAGAGTCCCAGCGGCGTCTTCGAAGGGGCGGGGCACGGCAGGGGGCGTGGCCGAAACACAGCATAACGGAGAGGGCGGAGCCTGAGTGCAGAAGGGAGAGTGCTGGGGGCGTGACGGGAGAAGTGGGGGGGAAAGGGCTTCGGAGGAGCGTGGCCACACCGCGGGAGGCGGAGCGACGGCGCGTAGCCGGGAGGGGGCGTGGCCGAGCACCTCACCCGCTTGCGTGGTGTCGCTGAGGTCCCAGCGCCGAGCTGCTCCTCCGGGGAAGTGCCTCAGCCGCCGTCCCGCCAGACTCAGGCTGCCCGAGGCCACCGCTTCTTCCAAGGCGCGCTCGGGGCCCGGAAGGGGGACGGGCAAGGAGGGGGAGGGCGGGGGCAGCGAGTCGGCCCCGCCCTCGCCCGCCGCCATCCCGCAGGCTCCGCTGTTTTCGCTGCGGCCGCCGGGCGCCGAATGAGAACACGGAGGCAGAGGCACTGAGACCCCAGCCAAAGGGGGCGGTGCTAGAACGATCGCGTATGCCTATGAGAGGCCGGCCACGCGGGAAGTAGCCAATCAGAAGGGCCCGGGTCGACCCTTTCCACACCCGAGAGCCAATCTCGTTTAAAGGGACTGGCTGACTCTTCCTCCTTTTGCTCCAATCGAATACCCGGGATGGAAGAGAACTGGGACGTGTGCGAAAGGGATTCAATCCAGCCAATCGCTTACGAGGGAGGCAGATTTCCCCCGGATCCAACTTCCCCAACCCCCGCGTGCAACTGCCTCACACGTGCCTCTGCCGCCCTATCAAATTCAAGGAGGCAGGGAGGGAAGCAATTGGCTTAGCAGGCGAGCCAACAATGGGCGTATCACTGCGCGTAGAATCGAGCGAAGGCGGGCCTCCCTCTGACGGATGGCTGAGCTGCCAATCAGACACGAGGCGAAGCGTCGCTCTGCTTCTGGCGGCAAGAGGTTGAAAGCCGGGAGCGCGGCTGAGCTAGGCGCGATCAGCGTCGTTAGAGAAGAATGGCAGCCACGGTAGCCAATCAGCAGCGACACAGCCTCTCGGTGCAGGGGAAGGGGTGCCTGACGACCAATCAGGATAAAAGGCGCCTCAGGAGAGGCGGGCCCAAACGCGTGGAAGGGCATGACGTCGGGGAACCGAAGGGGGGAGATTGACGCGGGAAAACGGGGGGGGGGC